TGTTAGAACTTACAAGAATATTTCGTTCACATTAACAACGTTTTTCAGACACTTTTGGAGTCTATTTTGTTGAATTTAATTGCCCTTCAGGTACTTTTGCCGGACCCCTTGGGTCAAAATATCTGTGCTGGTTACTAGCTTGATACAGCCTGCTCTCCATCTCACCCTTCAGGAGGCCTGTTTGTGTATTAAAGATAGTTTTTAAGTTGTAGTTACATCGAATCTTAAATGGACGTGTAACGTACAGAGTCGTCTGTACAGATCTTATCTAATCTTATGGTGAGTGCATTTAAATTTATATTTCCAAAATTAATGTGATTTTATAAACACCTAATCGTATTGGACATAATTGGTTAAGTATGTTTTGCCGATGTTTGATTGTATAGCTCCGCCGTGGCGTCATCGCAGTTTATATTTTCATCATTTTTTATATTTTTTTTATTTTATGTGATCTTACAATAAATATTAAGCTATAGGTATCATTAAATTGTAGGCTTGGTTCTAGGTAGGTATATTTTAGATAGCTCGTAATGTAATATGTGTAGGTACTTACAATAATTATTATTGCTGTTTCCGAAGATAATGACAATTTTTTTCTGCATTTTTAGAAGCTGTCCGTTTATCATTTTTGGACATTATAATAAAAAGAATGCACTGTAGGTCCTCTGGTCATCGGCTGGGTACATAATGGCTAAACTCTAATCCTAAACAGACGATGTGTATGAGCAGAACCGAAGCAAAAGTTCACCGTCCTCGGTGCTCACAAAAAAACACACGCCTCACCGAAACTATTGTTAATTACCGACAACTGTTGCGAAAGAGTTGTAAATTCCTCTGATGGAACTTGTCTTAAATTGGACGATGATGGGGCAGACAAAAGCATCTTTTAAAAATAACTCTGATCATGCCACTTAAAATAACACTAAAATCCTACATTTTTACTCTCCCTTCCTTATACCTTCAATAAACTATAACTAGGTATATTTTGTACATGCTTTCGAATATGTATCAGTAAAAATTTAAAAAGACAAATAATACCATTCAGTCAAGTTAAAATTGTAATCCTTGCTGAGAAGGTTCTTATATTTAATTGCTAATTTGTAGTCTACGAATCAAATCAATTCTTATCCCTCTCGCGAATTAATCACGTGTAGATGTGGTCTGTCAATTTTTTTCGGTAGAAGAAGTATAACTTTAAAAAACTTCTATCAACCTGTTCAACAGGACCCAAAAGACGATGTAGGCATATGTTATTAACAACCCTCTAATCTTTGAAAAATAATTTTTGTGAGATTAGTTTTCATTTTTTTTATTATTAACGTTGCGAGTTATTTTGTTCAATTTGTCGTCACTTTTTGCCATTGGATGCTATAAATTTTTAGTCCTTATCTTAATTCAATTGTTATAGGTTACACATAAATAAACATATCGGTATTAGATCAGTCTGCAGTCACTCAAGTAAGTCGTATATTGTACTTAAAACACTTTTCTTCGTTCGGGTGTACGAACTCATTAAGAGATCATTTAAAGAAACACTTGTTGTTGTTGTGTTTAATGGAAATACAAGAATACTAGGAAACATGCATATTACTTAAAAATTATACAAAAACCTGCATGTAGATACCAACTACAACTTATGTTAAAACATACGTTAGTTAACTTATTATTAACTCCATTTTCACCACCGAGTGCTTACTAAATTTTGAGGTCTCTCAAGATTTTTACACGAACAATCCAAGCTTAAGTGTATGCTTCAGTTCACATTTAATGTGTTTTATTATTTATAAACGAACATTATTCAAGTTTCCAAAAAGAACATTAATTCTATTCGTTCTTACTCAAAATTCGACAAACTTATTGTACACATTAGAGGTATATTAACATTATACTTATATATATATTAACAAATCACACAATTTATTGTACCTATTGATTTTGCTGTAAATTTATTGATTATAATACATAATTAGACTCATTATAAACAATTAGAAATAGTTTCA